TGCCTCTTTCCTCCTTCACAGCTCCCTCTGCCTGTCTCCCCACGAACACGGCGGGCTCTCCGCCGGGCCTTGCTGCCATGCAGCAGCCTGCTGGCCTCAGCCTCCATCTCCTCTGTTCCCCCCGCAAGCCCACCCTTGCCCCCACCGGTGAAGCCCCCGTCCCTGGCAGGCTCCCGGCTGGGATCACCCCGGGGAGCATCACCTCCTGGGGGGGGCCAGCCGGCGTGGGGTCGAGTGTGGGTGCCTGCATTGCTCCTTCCCCATCCTGGGCTGGACCCAGGGTTGCGAGGACCCTGGCTTGGTCCTGAGACAGTCCCTGAGCACCCTGACTTGGTCCTGTTCTGGTCCCTGAGCACCCTGACTTGGTCCCTGGCTTGGTCCTGATCCAGTCCCCGAATGCCCCAGCTTGGTCCCAATTGATTCCCTGAGCACCCTGGCTTGGTCCTGATCCAGTCCCTGAATGCCCCAGCTTGGTCCTGATTGATTCCCTGAGCACCCTGGCTTGGTCCTGACCCAGTCCCCAAGCACCTCACCTTGGCCCCCGAAAGCATCCAGCACCGACGTGTTTTCTTGTCCCTGATGTGGACACGGGGGAAGATGGCAGCGTTGGGACCGTGATGCCACCAGCCTGGGGGTGCGCGGTTGTCCCCATCCTTGAGTAGTCCCAGGTTTTGGGGTGCAATCGCTTCTCCTTTCCTAAAAACACAAGCCCGTGTGCTCAGTCCCATCCCACCCCAGAAGCAGCTTCACCCAGGTGCCACGGTGGGTGCCCCCCTCCCTCCCCCCCTCCCTCGGCAGCGCCGGCCGGGGGAGCAGAGGGCGAATGCTTGAACCCGGGTGCCTTCGCAGAGCTTTCAGACTCAGCATTAATAATAGATGCACTTTCGGAGGGGTATTAATAAAGGCCTCATGCATCATGCATGGCCAGCGGCGCGGGGGAAAGCAGGGCTGTTTACTGTGGAGAGGTGCCCAAAAGATGCCTCTTTCCAAAGGGAACCTGGGTGCTGAGGTCTTTATTAATGATATCTGGGGTGTCCCCACAGAAAAAGGTTTTTTTTTTTCTGGTGCCTGGGGTCATCTGCATCCCACGGAGTGGTCCTCGCTCAGGATCAGGCTCCCATGCTCATGGGATGGTTCAGCTGCTGGGGCCAGTAGTGCTTGGGGCCAGTGGGTGCCCACCTGAGGGGCACGAGCACCCTTGGGTGCCGTCAGAGGTGTAAGCTCTTAGGGACAGGTCCGAGGGGACATTTAGGATTTCCCCCTTAACCATGGGGTCCTCCCACCCCATGGCAAGCTCAGTGTGGGGCAGTGGATTTTGCCAGGATAGTGGTATAAATGTGGTTTAACCCCAGGATGCTCCAGTCCACATGTAGGCAAAGGGCTCGGGGACATGAGGGTACCTGGGGAAGGAGACTTCCCTCCTCCATAACACAGTTGGGGAGCAGATCCTCCTTCTCCAGAGCTGGTGGAGGGGACAAAATCTGCCAGAGAGAGCATATTTGCAGCCATGCTCCGCATCCCTTCCCTGCCTCAGTTTCCCCCTCTGCAAGAAAAGGCCAATAATCCCCCAAACACCTGAGCATCGATGATGATCACCGAATCCCGAGCCAAGAACAAGTCTCTCCATCCCCACTGCCCAGCTCCCTCCCTTCCCACAGGCACCTTCTCCTCCTGATTAATTAAAACCAAAGACCAGCGTGTCCCATCTGAGTGAGCAGCTCCTGTTAGAAGGACGAGATTTTGGGGATATATGGTTTTAGCTGATTTTTAACTGCTGGAGGAGGGAAGCTCTCCTATCAGCAGCAGCTTCCAGGCTGCAAAATCTCCTCCTGAGCCATCCGGCTGCTGGCTGGTCCCAGGAGAAGAGAAATGGCATCTCTCGGCCATCTAAAATGCCAAAAGGGAGGGAGCAAACAGTCCCCCCGGCTTCGCAGGGGGTCGCATCCTGCCTGCCTGCCTCTGCCTGATGGTGCCTGGATCTTTTCCAGCCCTGGGGACGCGCCAAGTTGAAGATGGGGAGCAGAGCTGTATTTCACCCCATTTCTTGCAGATGAAGCCTGCCAGGGCGCGTGGGGCATCCACATCCCATGGGGGACCAGGAACCCAGGGTGGGGGGGGTCTGGGCTGGGCTTTGGTGTCCCCACAGCGGACCCTGCAGCTCTGGATCCAAGTAGGGCAGATCCCTCCAGGGCTCAGTTCCATCGGAATAAACCCGGAGCCACGTCCCCCTTTTTGGAGGGGGACCCACTGACAGGTAGCGGGGATCCCTTCCCTGCTCTGTGCCAGGACAAGACCCTTCTCCCGGGATGAGCCACCCACCCTGGGGATTTGGGGATGCTCAGGAGGAGGGTCGCCAACCCATCCGCTGCACTGATTGATTTTTCTCTCCCTGCTAATTATTTAAGCACCTTTTTTCCCCATACATGGCAGCTAGAGGTCAAAAATGCAACAGAAATACCACTGGCGTCGGCTGCTATATGGGATTGAAAGGCAGAGAGCAACACCAGCAAGGTCTTAGATTAGCTCAAATCTTTAATTAGAAAAATAGACACAATTTTCTAATGTTCCTGATAGA